TGCTTAGATTTTTTTTTAGCTGTAATATTTTTTGGCAAACATAGGAGGGAATTTCTCTTAAGGTTACCTATTTTTACCCTGCTGATAATGCTAAATTTAAACTCTCACACTTCATATCTCTTGTGGCTAAAATGCCATTGAACATTTTGCTAAATATCTGATGCATGAAATTTACACAAATAGATTATTATTTATTTCTATTACCATGGGATCTAGGGGCCCAAATCATGGACCAAGACCCCATTTTGCTAGCTACCATCCCCTTCACATGTGGCTTTCATTTACATATTTCAAAAAATATCATGTTATTTCCAACAAATAGGGATACATTACTACTCTACACTTCCTGCCTGCATCCAAAAGTGTTCTCCTGAGAAAGAAAGGAGAAGAAAAAGAATAAATAAACCTGCAGAAATGTTCCCATTCAAATATTCTGACAGTGCTTGTGAAGTCAGGTCTGTGCCTCCTACTAGCGTGGAAGAGAAAGCAGACTGGCTCACGCTCCAGCTTGTGGGAGTTTGAGAGCAAAATGCAGGATCTTTAGTGGATCCAGATTTATTTTTTGGCATGGTCAAGGTATCTTGAGCTTCTCCAAAACTATTGGTGGCGTCATCATCGAGCCCACAGCAAAATAAAACCCCCAGTTACTGAAGTGATTAAGTTGCAAAGCTAACAAAAGGAAAAGACTTGAAAGCTGTAGGCCTCCAAAAGTCAACTGCTGTCTGTCTGTCTACTTGATCCTCCCCTTGTTCTGTTTGAATCCCTGCGTTGTCTGCTAACAAGTGCACTTTCCAAATAAATGTTTTTGAACAGCAATAGGTATTATACAGGCAAACACCACTGTGATGCTAGCAAATGCCTGACTCCCATTCTCCAAAGGAAATTTTGATATCTTTCAATTTGTTACAGAGCGTCTATTTTTCTTTCCCTATAAATGACTTTTAGCCTCTCCATTCTCATGACTTGTTACACTATAATATTACAATACTATGCAACCCAGTCTACTCTACCCCTTAAGACCATGATGTGCTGTCCAGCTTCAGTTCATTTACTCTCTGATCATAAGGCAGAGCGCTGTGGATGAAAGGTAGGTATTAATGGGACTGTGTCCTTGAAAAAGGGTGATGGTGTTGGAAGGGAAGTGCCATCTATATACCCCAGTGACAGTTGCAGCATTAATAATTAGCCACTGGAACAATTTACCAGGGGTTGTGGTGCATTGTCCATCACCAAGAATTTTTAAATCAAGATGAGATGTTTCTAAAAGCTCTGCTCTAGGAATTACTTGTGGAAGTTTTATGGCCCATGTTATACAGGAGTATCAGAGGGGTAGCCGTGTTAGTCTGAATCTGTAAAAAGCAACAGAGGGTCCTGTGGCACCTTTAAGACTAACAGAAGTATTGGGAGCATAAGCTTTCGTGGGTAAGAACCTCACTTCTTCAGATGCAAGTCATCTGAAGAAGTGAGGTTCTTAAGCTTTTGTGGGTATGCTCCCCATACTTCTGTTAGTCTCAAAGGTGCCACAGGACCCTCTGTTGCGTTATACAGGAGGTTAGACTAGATGAGCACAATAGTTCCTTCAGGCCTTGGAATTTATAAGAACCTAGTCATGTGTGGCTCCCCCAGGGATAGGAGCAAGGGAGAGGGACGAGAGGCTAACAGTAGCTATTCTCGGAGATGGAGGTTGCTTGTGCAGGAAGATCAGACTCATTGCAGCAGTGGTGAAGCTGGGTCCAATTCTTGTCTGCACCTAGTGGGTATGCTGATGTGTGACAGCTTAGCAGAGCAGGACTAGGGGAGCCAGCCACCAGGAAGCTAAGAGAAGGGGCAGCCAGACCCTGCCATAGCTTCCCTCTTTCACGCAGCCTAGGCCCAGGACACCCTGGTGACAGAGAAATAGTGATAACTGGTGTGCAGCAGCTAGTCTCATAAGTTTTATATGTGACTCTCAACCAAATTTTATAAAATAGCCAGTTATTCTAGTCAACAAAAACAATGAGAGTCAGGGAGTTACGTAAATCTACTGCAGCAACTCATTGGGCACCTACAGCTTCACAGCTGTTTGCATGCTGCATGTCATGGCCACTCTGAACATCACGGTAACAGCAAGCGTAGATCCTTTTGTTCCAAAAATGCTGGCCCCTAACATTGGAGCCAAAAGAATCACCATTAGCTTTAGCAGTATAAAGGTTATGATAAATCAGGGCACTTCCAGTTCCATCCAGAAGATGGCAGTGTTAATACATCCATATTCGCTAGTTCACAAGCACTTCCACCTAATCTATCTCTTTTAGGGTTTCTGCAGAGCCACTACCATCGTATCTAAATGCTTCCCTGTAAAGTATTGCAGTAAGGTCTGCAGTGGACTTCATGGGGTCTTCTAGCTATAGGAGGCTCTCATAGTTATCACTAGAAAGGCCTGATTAAGTTAGAGGACAGCTTTGTGCTCTAAGATCCAGGTTTAAAATATTCCCTGAAATCATTTGTTCAAACTGCAGCAGTGTCAGCTCTAGTCTTGTATTGTTCCAAGGTGGAATAGTTGAATTCCATGCACTTGTGTGTGTGTGTGTGTGTGTGTGTGTCAGATGAGTATTTTGAAAATAACCCAGGTCGCCCCTGCACTGCTTGGCTAATAAAAGTCCTATTGCTGTTTTTTAAAAAAACCTACTGCTTTGCCCAGCCAAAATACTCCCTTCTTGCACTAGTGTACAACATGCTGTGTATTGGCTGGCTGCTATCCTCCACCACAAAGGTGGCTGCAGATAAGTTGTATTATATATAGCTAAGGAAGCACTTTGGGATGAAAAGCCAAAATATTATTACAATTAATCTCTCCTTGAAGATAATAATTTCTATAGGCTTAGCTAGTGTGGATGGGAAGGGAACAACAGTCCACTGGAGGCAATACAAATGTTAACATTCTGTCTCCAGTAGAGGGCAGCAGATAAGCATCTGTCTGTGAAACGCCTCCAGCAGTTGGCTCAGTAACCAATTTAATGCTAGCTATCACTCCCAACAACGCCAATAGGCAGAGGGGAAGAAGGAGATCTATCACAGAATTGAACCCACTATTGTATAATGTATAGAGGCTGCTTTTCAGCTTAGGTGCATGCAAACAGCATCTACCACAGGTGCATTTCTCCAGTGCTTTCCTTGAAATATTTTGTCTATTTTAAAACAGACATATAAAGTAGTCGCAAAGTATATGGCGGGTGTGCGTTTTCTTTGGTTTGCCTTAAAGGAGTTTAGCTGTTATCAAAATACCTCTGCTAGCAGCCATTTTTTATTGTTGCAGAGGTAGGTGAGAAACTAGCCTGGAGCTGCACCTTGTATGCAGATGCGAGCTTTGCAGATGCAGTGATTGCTCCTAAGTGTCCAGAAGCAAAGCACACATCTTATGAAGCAGTGAAAAGCCAAGATGTAGCCAGAGGCATTACATAAATACTTGTAATACACTGAGCTGTAGTCCTCCACCTACAGAACCGATCTCATAAAGCAGTCTAGTACACACTGAGCCAGATGGATCCTAGGTGTAACATGATTCTTGCCCAACTGGTGCTGTTAGAGCTCTAGCAGTGTGCCAGTGAAAACCATGACAAAGAACAAAAAGAACCTGAAAGCTGCTCTAAGAAATCATGTTCCTGGGGAATTAGAAATTCCATCCTGTAGTCTACACAGCACATATTTGCCTAACCCCAGAGCAGGGTGTAGCTCTGAATATGAAATGTATATACAAACTAATTGATATGTTGCTCCCTCTCAGCCTTTAGTATATCTATATTCTGCCAGGGTAGACCAGCTATCATACACAGTCTGATGAATAACATACCAGGAGCAGCCAGGTAACCGGTGTCTTAGGCCATAAGAAATTTGCTTCCAGGAAATTAAATAACAGTTCAGCATTCTGTAGTGCTGTTCTTCTTCCCCTGTTGGATCGTGCTGGAAGAAAAATTCCTTCTTCTGTATCTGCACTTGAATAAATTTGAGAGGTGATGGTTGCATTTCTCTGACAAGCGGATGAATAGTTCCTCTTCATTTCACTATCCATGCCAAAGCTTCCATTTTTCCTGTAGAAACCCTGGATGGCAAGTAAATGAGGGAGAAGCTCTCTGGGAAGGGGGAAAAAAACAGAATAAAAAAGGTTTGTCTAAACTGTGTTTGTCTGACTGGGGATGGGAGAGTTGCAGAAGATTACAGGTGAAATTTTGAGGATGCCACCAAGGAGTTTAAGGCTGAGAGTTCAGTTTTATAATAAATAACTAGATCCTGGCTTTTAGAAGGGTTATCATGAACATTGTTCAAAAGTTAATGAACACTTTTTGTTTGGGTTAAACATTTCCCTGCAGTATTTACAACCCAAAGATAAGATTAAAAGGACTTCGCCTCCTGGTTCCATCACAGACCTCAGTTTGACCTTGGGGAAGCCACTTATGGCCACATTTCCGCAGCTCCCAGTGTGACATGTACGGTCAGATGCTCAAAACCAGTCAGCACTCCCGCTACTGAGCTCTTTTGAAAATCTGACCGCTTATTTTAGTCTCTAAATGGGAGCTGAGAACTTCTGACAATCTGCTCTCTCTCTGCTTCAGTGTCCCATCTGTAAAATGGGGATAACAACACTGCCTTCTTTCTCTTCTCAAGTGTATCTGCACCATCTAGCCTAATCGTGCCCTGATCTTGGTTGATTCCTCTAGGTCAGTAGTTCTCAACCTGCTTACCATAGTGGGTTGCATATGTTGCTCGTTATGTGGGCCATAGCCACACACACACACACACTATATATATATATGTATGGCCCTGAGGATGTCAAATGGGCTGCAGCCGTGTGCTGATTGGGCCACAAACAGCTTGGGGGTTGAGAACCACTGCTCTAGATACTACTGTGATACAAATGAATAATAAGTGAAACTGACTATAAACCAGAGCTGAAATTGACCAGCCTGTGTTTATTCTCCCAGGCCGAGAAAAAGGCAATAGACATATACCGCTAAACGGAAACCATGAATGGCAAAAAGCAAAGGTGATGGGTGAATAATCTAGGCCTCAAACAGCAAGGTACTTAAGCATGGGCCTGATTTTAAATCGGTCCCAGGAGACGAGTCACAGGCAGGGATCTGCCATGGCTGGGAAGCGGTGTTGGGAGAGAAGGTGACCTGGGGTCTGTGACTTCACCGGGCAGTATCTCTTTAAATGTTTCCATGGAAACATTTAACGCCAAAAAATATAACTCATCCGCGCCAGGCCTGACCCTCTGTCTTACAAAATCAGTGTCAGCAGTTGGGAGTCTCCCAGCCGCTCCGGGCCTCCCTGCGCTCCGGCCACCCCAGCGCCCCATGGGGAGAGACTCCTCCAAGGCAGGTCCAGCCCCCCCCGGGCAGCGTGGCTCTGGTCCTGCCAGGGGCGGTCTGGAGGGGGCCCAGCCCCGGCTGCCCCTTACCCCCGCGCTAGGTTCCTCCTGCGAGGGGAGGAAGTTGAGTTGGGCGAGGGGAGGGGAGCCGCCGCTGTTGGCGGCGCAGCGAGCTCCTCCTTCTCCCCAGCTCTGAGCTGCAGCCGGGCAGGAGAGCGGAGCGGGCAGGGGCCAGCTGCCACCCCCACCCAGCCCCTGAAAGGGACCCCGAGGGGAGAAAGGGAAGCGGGAGCAGCCGCCGCACCTCGCCAAAGGGGGGAACATTGTATCTCCGCGGCGCGTCTGCTTCTTTGTCTGCTTCCCACCGCCCCCTGCCAGGGAGAGTTGCCGGATTGTAGCCCCCCCACCCGGAGCAGGGGGGGCCGCTTTTGTGGCTGGGACAGCGCTGCCCGCGGATCCCCGCCGCCCCTCCTCAGGGGGGAGGCGAGAGAGGGGACCCCCCTGCGCCCCCAGCCAGCTCGGAGGGAAAGGGGCGATCGAGAATGCGCTGCGCTTCGGGGCTTTCTCCGGAGAGAGGAGGCGGACGAGCGAGAGCAGCGAGGAGGGGCTGATTATTGTATTCTTATTTTGTGCCTTGCCCAGCGCCGGGACGCCGCAGAGGAGAGCCCCAGGGCTGTGTGCCTCCTCGCCCCGGGTGGCGGGTCTTTGTTTGTTTGCCACGTGAACCCACTTCTGGCCGGCCGGAGCCCCAGACAAAGCCCCATTGAGAAGAGGGCAGGGGAAGTCCAGCAACTCCAAGGGGAGGCTGGAGAGAGACAAGCGACCCTCCCCCGCGAGCAGGAGCCACCTGAGGGGAGGGGGCAGGCGGGGGTGGGTCTCAGCCCCCCCCCCCCACGCGTGTCTCTCTCCTTTCCTGGCTGGAGCTGGGCGAGGGAGCCGAACCCAGTGCGTGGGGAGAGAGATGCTGCAAGGAGCCCCTGAGCTGGGATCTATGGAGCATTTTATAGGGAAGAAGTAAAGCTGCCAAAAGCCCCGCCGGGGAGTGAGAAAAAAGGCGTCTTGGAAGTGTCGTCGTCCCCCCCCCCCCCC